GAACTTATTTCCAACAATCCTGAAAAATAAGCAAGTATATAAGAATATTTGATTTGAGTGAGTTGAGTAGTAATGATCAATTTGAGTGATTTAATCAATGAATTGATCTTCTCTTCCAATGACAATAGTATACAATGACTCAAGATATATAATGCTCAAAGTTTTTTGGTTGATAATATGTGAAAGTATGCAGAAAACTTGTGTATGAAAGTCTATAAAAGTTTGAGTTTGATTTTTGAAAATTCAGAAAATATGATTGGAAGAGGTACTTAAAATGATTTTGAAAATGAGTATTTATATATTCATAGCACCCTTTTGAAACAACATAAAAATTCTGCAAATGAATCATGAACAATTGCCAAGACTGAGTGAAAGGTTTCCATGAATTGGTGTTATGAACAGGCATGAGTGAAGCTGCTGTTTTCAAAATCATTCAGCATGCAATCGATTGCACCCTTGTGTAAATCGATTGCACTGGGTTTTAACAGCTAGCAATTCAAATATTTTGAGTTTGCAATCGATTTCACAAGTGTGTAAATCGATTGAACTTGAAGTCAGTGGCAAAAATTGATTGAGAGTAATCGATTGCACATACATGCAAATTGATTGCACTTAGAAACAGTAGCAAATGTTTTGAAAAATTGAAGTATGCAATCGATTGCACCAATATGCAAATTGATTGCACTCAAGTGAAAATTGAATTTTTGCTTAGAAAAACTTGAGTAAAGATTTGGACAATATAAAATATTTCTTTTGAGCATCTATGTCTTAAGTTTAAAGTAAGTATTATCGTTATAAAAGGTCATGTGCTAACGGTTTACTTATCAAGACTGGCCGTCTAATTAAAACATATACAAGATATAATAAAAGGTCATATGAAAAATGCTTACTGGGACATCGACCCGTCCTCTAACTTGTCGGTTTCACATATAAAGCTCGACAAAGGACCGTGATGTCATTTCTACGGATATTTGTTGCCCCTTCATGAGTTGGACTCCACCACCACGTGACATGCCACCATGCATGTATCACACGTCTGGGTGGGCACGTCCCACCAGTCCTTCGAAGCATCCAGGCATCCTAGAACATCACCCTCGGGCGTATACAACTACTACATCATCTTAGACACCGACAGACATTGAGACCACTATGCATATCATGTCTCTCCACACTCTTGATAATCAGTGGTACATGGATATGGTGCAACATCGCACACAACAGTATCACAAGGTAATCTCTCATCTTATTCTACTTTAAGTCATTCAAATCATAAAGTTATTATTGACAGTGGTCATGGAATTCAAGTTCACGACACCGGACATGCACAAATATCCACCTCTAACCAACCCATTCACTTTAACCATATCTTGCATGCCTCGTAAATTATTAAAAATTAAATTTATGTGTGACGACTCACCACTGACAACAATGTCTCTGTTTTCTTTGACCCTGTTGGATTTATTGTATCAGGTTTTTCAAACGGAGATCCTTCTCATGTGATGTGACAGTTATGACAATCTCTATCCAGTCACCACTTCCACCAATTTTGTCGGTCTTACTTCTAGTCTCTGGCACTGTCGCCTGAGTCACCTTGGCATTTTTATTTTGCATTCCCTTCGCAATAATGAGTTCATATGTTGTGAAATTTTAAATTTTTCTGCTATATTTGACTCTTGTGTTTTAGGAAAACGTGTTAAATTGTCATTTTTTAATTCATAAACTTTGACTTTGATGCCTTTTGATATTTTATATAGTGATTTAGGACGTCTCCGATTTTAAATTCTGCCAGTCATAAATATTATGTATTATTTTTGGATGATTTCACAACTTTCTTATGGACCTTCCATTCGAACAGTGATCGCCATTTCTATATCCAAATCATGGCCCATTCATCAATTGGATGCCCATAATGTCTTTTTACATGGTGAATTTCATGAGACTGTTTACATGCATCAGCCATTGGGTTTTCGCGACCCCAGTCATCCAAATTATGCATTTCGTATGAAGAAGTCACTTTATGGTCTCAAACAAGCACCCAGGTCATGGTACCAATGTTTTATTGACTATGTCGCCACTATTGATTTCCTCCATAACACATCAAACCACTCTCTCTTCATATATCGAGAAAGTTAAGACATTACATACATTCTTCTATACAAGGACGACATCATCCTTATTACCTTCACTTAGTTCCTTTTCAAATCAATTATGTCACTCTTAGCATCTGAGTTTGGGATGAAGAGTCTGAGACCCCTGAGTAACTTTTTGGGTATTGCAGTATCTCGTCACGCTAGTGACATCTTTCTCAGTCAAAGCACTTATGCCTCAAAGAAGAAACTAATTATCTCCTCAATCAGACTCTTATCTCAACTCCAAGAAGAAACGCAGTATCTCCTTCGACAGTCCGTATGAGGATCACTTACTATATCAGAGTCTTGCAGGGACTTTATAGTATATCTCACATTGACTCAACCTGACATGTCATATGCAGTTCAGAAAGTTTATCATCATCCCTCATTACAAATCTTATATCCTACACTGACGCTGATTGGGGTGGATGTTAGGCACTAGACGCTCGACATCTTATTGCAATGTTTTTTTAGGTGACGAACTTATTTCTTGGTCTTCTAAAATTCAACCTACTCTCTTTTGTTCTAGTGTTGAAGCCAAATTATGGGTGTTGCCAATGTTTTCTCTGAATCGTGTTGGATTCTCAATCTTCTCTTAGAGCTCCATTTTCATATTCTCACAAGTATACCTTCATGGTCATTTCTAACGTCATTGAAAATATACATGATGTATACCACGGTGAATACCTAAATCATAAACTCAAGATAAAAGATGAAATTATTTGCTACGATGGAATGAGTCCTTTGCAGCACTATGTTATCAATTGATTTTATTTCCATTTTTTACTTAGAATTAGCGCATGATTATGTCTTTTCCTTATATGATGAACAAAGTTCTCTCTAGTCTTGATGAACACGAGAGGAACAATAGTTTGGATGATATTGAAGATTTGCGGGTGATTGTTTATGTGACTAATAACAGAAGATTTAATCATGGATCTAGTGGAATTTTTTGTTAATCTCTTAGAGAGAAAGTAGAGAAAGTTCTAAGATGTGTTCATATTGTGGCATACTTAGACATGGCATATGCTTATTACAAAAGTCAAGGATTTTCCACATGGTTTCAATTCAGAAATTCTACAAGAAGTAATTGTGTTGAAGTAGATATTTCAAAAGCGAAAGGACCAGCATAAAGCAAATAAAAAAGATCAAAACACTCCTCAACACAATATTCAACGCAAAAGTTTAGCTTCACTGTTCATAAATTTCTATGGAATGCAAAACCCTTGCTTGAAAACTCAATTGGGAGGGGGCTGCACGAATGCAAACCCCCCAAAAATTATGATGCAGGCTACATCACTTACATAGACCTTAGGCTAACACCCCTCCTAAATGCAATGGAGGTCACTTGTCTAGGCCACGGGCTTTCTTGATTATCTATTGACCCCTTCCATGTAAGTATGTTGCAATGTATCACACACTTCTCTTTTATAATTGATGCTCAACATTTCGGATGTGGGACTCAGATAGCATAACACTAATTCATTTCTGATGTATAACCATATTGCAGTCGTGGAATCTCATAAGTGAATGTATGCAATATTTTGTTCCATGATCTCCTCTATCATGTTTTATACAACAGTTATTTACGTAAGATTAAATCTTTATTTTGTTTACAGAATTGATACCAAATCTTACCTTCCATATCAACTTTATTTAGTTTCAAGTTAAATCTTTTAATCTGAAAAAAAGTAGCGGAAGAGTGAACTAAGGTTTGTGTGAGTTGAAGATTGTCATTGTGGCTGGATGGGAGAACTTTGGCACTGGTTTGATGACTGGTTTTTTTTTACAATTGTACTATTAGGTTGCGATATAATACCAGTACTAAATTATATCTTATGCAAAATAATAAAATATCAGAGTTTGGGGAAATAGTAAAAATTAAAGAATCACTAATAAAAAGCTGAAGTTTAAAGATCTTAGAATAACCATAAATATTGAACCTAAAAACTCTATATATTGAACTAAAATTGTAGGACTTTACCCCGAAGGGAGTCCTTCCAGAAATTCTCAAAGGCTTGAGTTAAACTCAAGCCTAAGAGGGGGTTTGGAAATAGTTTTCAACCAGCAATAGACGCGCCTCGGTTAGAACCTCACTAGTTTGTGTGAGTTGAAGATTGTCATTGTGGCTGGATGGGAGAACTTTGGCACTGGTTTGATGACTGGTTTTTTTTTACAATTGTACTATTAGGTTGCGATATAATACCAGTACTAAATTATATCTTATGCAAAATAATAAAATATCAGAGTTTGGGGAAATAGTAAAAATTAAAGAATCACTAATAAAAAGCTGAAGTTTAAAGATCTTAGAATAACCATAAATATTGAACCTAAAAACTCTATATATTGAACTAAAATTGTAGGACTTTACCCCGAAGGGAGTCCTTCCAGAAATTCTCAAAGGCTTGAGTTAAACTCAAGCCTAAGAGGGGGTTTGGAAATAGTTTTCAACCAGCAATAGACGCGCCTCGGTTAGAACCTCACTAGCTGCGTCATTGCCCCAAGCGCAAAGATAGTTTTAGCACAGAATAAACTTCGTTTTATATATAACTTGAAAGCCATCTAATTTCTCTCATTAGCAGTGTGGGACTAGGAAATTATACTGTGAACTCCTTACTCATCATTCTTGTCCATAAACAAATCTAACAACTAAGACAAGCAAATATTAAACCGCAAAGAATAAGGTTGAGAGAAAGAGATCTAACTTGTTCAAAAACTAAGACAAGAAAATAACATTACAGTAGTAAAATAGCCCAGTCACCAAATCAGTACCAAAGATATATGTGGATGTTGCTGCAGCAGTAAAATAGCCCAGTCACCAAATCAGTACCAAAGATATATGTGGATGTTGCTGCAGCGGCTTTCAATTCCTCAATTCCCACTGGATCGTAATTTCCCACTGCAGCGGCTTACATGAAGTAATTGTGTTGAAGTAGATAACTCAGAAACAAATCGATGTTGCCTCACACAGTAACCTCTACACAATGTATCAAAATCAGCTTCGTACAGAGATGCTATTTCTTTTAATTTTTGCCTGCTTGTTCATTTTTCTATCTTACCCACATATTTAAAGATGAATCATTTATAGGTGTTGAAAAGGACAATTTGAAGTTTGAAAAATAGAGAGAGTTGTAACTTGTACTAAAATTGCAGAGCCCTCATTTATGAGGACTCTTCCAAAAACTAGCGTATGCCGCTAGTTGTAACGCTGACACGGTATTCTTTAGTAAAAGGCGAAAGAATAGTTCGCTATGTCATCATCACACGGCTCCGTGACTAGCTTTGATAGAGGCCCTTTCATTTTATATGTAACCAGTATAGTTTCTTTTATGACGTGGGACTTCAGTCTGATACCCTATCTTTGAATACTAATGAAGTATCCTAATCTAGCACAATTGAATTTCAATGCAAATACAGCACATAAATAATAACTCACCTTTCAAAAGAGGAGCTACATATGAGCCAATGATCTGTTCCATCTTTTGTTTTAAGTAAGTCTTTACAAACCTCACCATTTTCATGATCAAAACCTACCATGGCTATAGCATACAAAACAATCATGTACCATGGCTTAGTGTTATGCATGCACTGTAAGTAAACAGTTAGGCTTAACATATTTTATGCAAAAACACCAATTGCACAGCAAGGTGGTCAATTTAACTTTATCAAACCCCCCAACAAATTGTTCAAGCATATCAAACTGAGCTACTGCCAAACATCATATTTCACATAGTTTCGTTAAAAACATGCACATTAAAGATGAGAGGCAAAATAGTTTGGATGAAATTAAAGGTAGTAGAGAAAATTCTAAGATGTGTTCATAATATGGCAAACTTGGATTGTGCTGAAGTAGAAACAAATTGAAAATCTTACTGCAGAGGAATACTGAGGATTAATAGCAATGCTCAAGTCCAACACATTGAAAGGAGGAGCAGATGTTGCTTCACAAGGTGTGAGTCAGGCTTGTACAGTGACCTCCACACAAGGTATCAATCAAAATTGGCAAGAGATTCTTCTTTCTATTATATATTCTCTGATAAGGATTGCTTGATACAAGATGTGTCATACGAGACGATTGGTTTTGGTAAAATGGACTCTGGACTCTACATGTTTGAAAGAGCAGAAAGAATCCTTGAAGCAACATGTTGTAAGGAATATTTCTTGCAATTTTATTAGTACTCCATAATTATACTATACCATTTTCATCATCATCCATACTATCTTCAGGGGATGTCTTATATGGAAAGAATTTTTAGTCAGGGGATGTCTTCTAAGGAAAGAATTTTTAGTGGGGTACATTTGAACAAATCTGAATGAGAGCTAAATACTTATAAATATGTTAGTTCTTAAGAGTACATTGACCAGATCCATTTGGTTCATTCTCGTTGACAACTAGGTGTGTTAATATAGTCATTATTCATTTATACTAGGTACTAACTATGGATTTGAAAACATTGGGGTGTCGGTCTGCTATGGGTTCTCAATCTGTGACTCAATATAACATCATTTGCAGATGGTAGAGCTTTGTAATTTAGTAGTATTAGAATAGTCTTCACGTTTTGCATAACATTTTATAAACTAGGACACAAACACAATAAATAGAAACTTGAACTAATTGTGATGCTAACAAGGTATATTCTTTAGTAAAAGGCAGAATATTAGAGTCCCTTTCATTTTATATAATTTCTTCTACGCATTAAACGATGTGGGACTATAGTCAGATACTTACTTGACCTCGACCTTTTCTACCCTCTACAATGAATAAACATCTAATAGAATCGTGAAAGACTATCACTGGAAAGTCTTTGGAACAAAGACAACGCTGATAGAATCGTGAAAGACGACGGGTCTAGGATAAGCTGACAACTATATAAATCCTGACCCGAAGCTAAAGTAACACCTTTGTATGATCCGGTATCGTACAACATTCGTCCAAACATTGACATGAAAATAACAGGGACGGATCAGTTTCATCTTTTGACCCAAAACATATATTGTTGTGATGACAACAATCAGCACAAAGACAATGGCTTCACTAATGGATCTATTTCATCTTTTGCTTAAGCATATAGGGGAAGGAGGCAACTCAATAAAGATAATTTTGTATTCATTGAAAGTGCAGTTTGATATCAAACTGCTTGTAAACAACATACACTTAAATATCATCATTTTATTTGAAAATATCAGTTCTATAGGTTCTTACTGCTGTGTCCTTGGATTATAAGGAGACAAGAACATAAGTTTGATGGATGAATCATGACCGCCTGATCAAAGCGTGATTAATGGTCAGTATGATCTCCATATTGTGTGCATCATCTTTATCTTCAGCTGTAGGTTGGTTCTCAAACCCTTTTTTTGCAACAAAACGAAACGAAAAATGAAAAAGTTTAGTTTTTCTAAAAGGAGTGGCCTTGTATTGCTCTTACCTTGCTTTCTTCCTAGGGAGAATACGAAAGATTCTTGCTGTATGTGATTTAGTGTCTTTTGCTTCCCTCTCACAAAGATAACTTGCTCCCTTCTTCAAACCTTAACAAAACCCATAACATCAAGTTCTTATAACAAACCCAGCAAAACAAACAGAAGAAGAAAAAAAGGGTCGATTACTTTGCTTACTTGTTTGTAGAACTATGCATGTTGAAAGGGACCCTGGGTGGGTCCACCCTCGATTTCCTTGTTCAGAAGCATAGTAAAGAGAGATTCATGCTCCATTGAAAAAACATAATGCACTACAAGATTCATCGGTTTTCTCTTCTTCCACTTCTTTGTTTGATCAGGGGCTTTACTTCAGTCATCAACAGGTTTTCGGACAATACAGTGTATTTAGTTTTGTTTCGAATTCAAGTTTTGAAGGAGAGGGCGTTTTTGTTTGGTAATGAAAAGTAAAGATATCCTCTCTAAGGTTTAGAGTTTATCAGATTGAGTAAATCATTAAAAAATTTATTATTTTTTTGTTGTTGGAATAAGGGTTAGGGTTTATCAGCTTAAAATCTTCATTGCTTAAACATGGCATCATCAAGAAATTCAACTAAAATTGAAGTAAATATGACCCAACATTGAGACAGTTTTTTCTATTGTGTCCGGGTTAACGGCATGTACTGCATAATTTTACCATTTCGTTTGTTGTATCCATTCACCTACACAATCTCAATTACGCATGTATAATATTTACAACATTAATAAAGTTCCTCAAGCTAAACACGACAAACTTGCGGAAAAACACAAATTAACATAACGAAACAAACGTTTGAAAGTGAATTAACAAGTTGAAAAGTGAAAATTTGAGAATTTAAAACATGTTCAATTTCAACTTGTTAAAACACAAGTCAACACATACATAAACCAATAGAAACAAAACATGTGTGTTTTACGTCGTAAGCTCGACACTTTATTGTGCGAGCTAGTAACCTCCTCTCGCCATGCCATAGTATTGTCACATTGCGCAAACCTAAAGAAAGTGTCCTAACATCCACACAACAAACGTTACGAAAACGAGACAATTCACAACAATACGTGAAAACAAAGAAAAACACATATATGCACAAGTATGGAAAGTAAACACAAAACTTGTACAAGTAAAAATAGACAAGTTTATGTACACATTCTATACAACATATACATTAATTACAAAACTCAAAAACAAAAAAAATTATCGCAATACAAAAATAATAAACATCAATCCTCGGTAACGGCTCCATTTTGTTGTTGTGGAATATAGCGACAAGCAAAAAGTAAGATATTAATTTACCGGGTGATACTTAGGTTATATCGTATCGTGTCCACAGAGATTGGTGTATTGAAATGTTGTTCAACAAATCTATCGTTAATGGGTTTGAGGGTTGAATGGGTTGTATGAAAAAGGTATCAACAAAAAATAAATGTAAACAAAAATTATAAATAGAAAAAAAGGTCGATTACTTTGCTTACTTGTTTGTAGAACTATGCATGTTGAAAGGGACCCTGGGTGGGTCCACCCTCGATTTCCTTGTTCAGAAGCATAGTAAAGAGAGATTCATGCTCCATTGAAAAAACATAATGCACTACAAGATTGATCGGTTTTCTCTTCTTCCACTTCTTTGTTTGATCAGGGGCTTTACTTCAGTTCGTGGAGATGTGTTTCATCAACAGGTTTTCGGACAATACAGTGTGTTTAGTTTTGTTTCGAATTGAAGTTTTGAAGGAGATGGCGTTTTTTTTTTAGGTCATGCAATGTATTTAGCTTGCCAGAAAAAGTTGTAAAAGGAAAAGTATATAATTGTGTATAAAATGAGATATCTTGACAAGAGTAATTTCATCAGGATTGATCCATCAACTACACAAATAATTCACGAGAAATAAGGTTGTAGCGATGTTTTCTCTCTCATATTCAAAAATGTCGATAGTAGCGACACTCTCAATTTGAAATCGGTGACAGCAGCAACGCTCTCGATTTAAAATCAGCGATAGTAGCGGCGTTCTCGATCCAAAACCAGCCACGGCAGCAGCACAGACACATACTCTCTCTCTTTCTCTCTCTCTCTCTCTCTCTCTCTCTCTCTCTCTCTCTCTTGATTCAATATTGGCGCTCTCTTCTCTCTTAAGGTTAGTTGTTCAAATTCTTCGATGTCATTTTCTTCCTTTTCAAATTCTTCGTTGTCGTCTTCTTCTCTCACAAATTTTTTTGACTCTGTTGTTGGAGAAGAGTTTGACATGTTCACAAATCAACCATAAACCCTATTGTTGAAAGAGAGTTTGATATGTTCACAAATCAACCATAAACCCTATTGTTGAAAGAGAGTTTGATATGTTCACAAAATTCTTTTTTGTTTGGTAATGAAAAGTAAAGATATCCTCTCTAAGGTTTAGAATTTATCAGATTGAGTAAATCATTAAAATCGTTATTATTTTTTTGTTGTAGGAATAAGGGTTAGGGTTTATCAGCTTAAAATCTTCATTGCCTAAACATGGCATCATCAAGAAATTCAACTAAAAATGAAGTAAGTATGACCCAACATTGAGACAGTTTTTTCGATTGTGCCCGGATTGACGACATGTACTGCATAATTTTACCATTTTGTTTGTTGTATCCATTCACCTACACAATCTCAACTACGCATGTATAATATTTACAACATTAATAAACTTCCTCAAGCTAAACACGACAAGCTTGCGGAAAAATACAAATTGACATAACGAAACAAACGTTTGAAAGTGAATTAACAAGTTGAAAAGTGAAAATTTGAGAATTTAAAACAGGTTCAATTTCAACTTGTTAAAACACAAATCAACACATACATAAACCAATACAAACAAAACATGCGTGTTTTACGTCGTAAGCTCGACACTTTATTGTGCGAGCTAGTAACCTCCTCTCGCCATGCCATGGTATTATCACATTGCGCAAACCTAAAGAAAGTGTCCTAACATCCACACAACAAACGTTACAAAAACGAGACAATTCACAATAATACGTGAAAACAAAGAAAAACACATATATGCACAAGTATGGAAAGTAAACACAAAACTTGTACAAGTAAAAATAGACAAGTTTATGTACACATTCTATACAACATATACATTAATTACAAAACTCAAAAACAAAGAAATTATCGCAATACAAAAACAATAAACATCAATCC